TGAATGAGTTTAAAATCTAAGTATTTTTAATGTTCTATAAGGCATGAGAAGCAATATAAAAATATATTTCACTATACAATAATTAATATTACCTATCACTCCACTTAATATCTATAAAATATAAATASACAAATTATGAGAATCGACATCGATGTAAAATTTGAAGATTTTTCTTGTACAATTCAATTAGAATTAGAAAAATGAATTAGAAAAAATCTTTCACGTAATAAAACATATGTTTTGTATGTTATCACTCCTGAACTTTCCCAGACAGAAAAAAAAGCCATCTTTGTATTATATAGGCATCCTTGATTTTTAATTCCTGAAACTTGTCTTTGAAATTTTCTGATAGTTTTTCAGAACATTTTAAAAGGTCATTAATTCTAGGAATTTCTGTAATTTTTTTAACAAATAAATAAATGTTTTGAGAAGAACCATTTTTCATACTAAAAATATATTATTGTTCATGGTATATTTATCTCCAAAAAACAAAATCATAAAATGAATAACAGATATCTATATTTTCTTTCACCTACGTGTATACTGCAGTATAGTCTTAGCACAGATCAAAACAATAATTTATTTGAGCAAAGTAAATTGATTAAAATCACGAAATATTTACTATAATATGATGGAAAAATAAAATTTCTCATAAAATCTTACCTCTTGATTCTTGATTTTGGAATCATCATTATTAAGACGTTTTTAATTTTGAGTGGAGCAATGAATGTATTGATTTTACAACGATGTATTTTTTTTATTTTGTGACTATTTTCACGAAAAAATGCTTTGATTTTCAGCTTTAGAAACGTTTCTGTCGGAAAATTGAATCTTTGAGGTGCATCAGAAAGGTCATAATTTAAAATTTCAAKTAGTTTTCAAAAACGATAGGAAAAAAAATTATGGAAAAGCGGAAATTTTATTCAAAATCAGTTTTTGACAAGAATTTGTTTTTGTTTTTGATGTAATATTCAAAAATAAATAGACAACTGTAGATACTTGAAATTTCCATCGAATGTTTATAGTTAATTTTCCATATACCTACCGTAAAATTTTCAAAATACTTATTGAAAATGTTGACCCTTTTTGAGTTATTTAAAAACATTCGATATTTTTAATTTTTTTCTTATAAATAATAAAAAATCATTTAAAWTATTGAAATAAATATATATTGTTATAAATTAATAATTTAAAGTTCAAATTTAACACATCTATTACAGTGATCTACATAACACCTAATGTACAGCAGAACTGTATTTAACTGTCTACTTCTCTTAATCTATTTTTCTGATTTAAAAGGATAAAAACAATTCAATCAGCGATTTCTATAATGTATTATATAATATGGATGGCTACGGGCAATTGGTTAAAATTATATATTCATTATCGCATTAGAAAAAAGATTTTAAAGGAGCTTAGAGCATAATATTTCCAGTCATTGAATGATAAAATAATTATGTTTTAAAAAGCCATTTGTATTGCAAATTTGCGTTAAATTTATAATACCATTTATGGACGAGGCGTGTCATAAAACAGTTTTATATTACCGGGAAAAAAAAAATTTTTTTTAAATAAAAACAATAATAAATAGTAGATTTTTTTCCATTTTATGCCATTGCAATAATAAATATAAATATAATTTTAATTATCACTAGGTATGTACTCTAAAGTAAAAAACGAATTCACAATTTTCGCAAAGATAAATAAAGCTAATGTAAATACGTATATATTTGTTTTAAATTTTTAATTCTAAAACGTCCGCACGTTAGGTACACCGATGAAATGTAAAGACGTAAAGTATGTACAAACCAAATATAACTTTATTATATATACCAACATTAATTTACATTATTAAAATTTATTTATATAATCGATCATGTATTATAGTTCTATATATATAGTGTATATATATATGAGTGGTCTCTGAACAAATCTATATACATTTTTTTATTGATTTATTTACTTTTTGCAGTATATGATGCCCATCAATATAAAACCTAACGTACTTAAAACACTTTTTTCATATAGAAAAAAGAATACAATTAGGTACCTAGTTAATATTTTTTTGCGAAAATCGAGTTTGAATAACGTTTTTAATGCCACTTCATATAAAATATGACCCCTTTTCAAATATTGTCCTATTATATCAGTAATATATTATTCAACGTTTTAGTAAGTTAAAGTTTCATCGAAGCACAACTTTAAACAAGTTATATACATCATAAATTATATTTTAAATGTTTTGAAATTCTGAAGATGACTTCTTGACATGTTAGTAAAATATTACAGACATACGTAATATAAGGAAATTTGTGTTTTTTTTTACAGAAGCGGTCCATATAGCCAATATGTTATGTCAATACGGATACTTCTTTCCCGTAAACGACTCAAAAACTCTTACTCTAAAAGATGACAGTTCTCTGTACAGGTTCCAAGTAAGATGAATAATATCTATTGTACATTACATTATAACATCGAGACACAGTCCAACGTCTACCGTTCAAAATGGAGTTAAAAAAACAACTGTGATCATGATATTGTTTTTAGATTCCGTATTATTGGCCATGTTCACAAAAGAATCCTGATAACGTAGAATATGCGATATACCTATCAAAAAGACTGCTAAGAAACAAACAACGACATGCCTTGGAAGACTATGAAATGGTAAGCATCAGTATCGCATAACTTAGTTAATTTAAAAAATGATGAATTAACTCTAAAAATGTATCGAGGTCCGCATTTTTAAGCACTGCAATATACTGCTGTGTAATAGATATTTTTAAAAAATGAATCTAAAATAAAAATAAGACCTTTTTGATTTTTTCTTTGCATACAATAACAGCTTTTTTGCATTAAATCAAAAAATTTAAACATTTCATTTTAACATTTAGAATCAAAAAATTATTATTTATTATTATTATTTTTATTAATCCAGGACTCATTGAACAGTCTGAAAAAAAATCTACAAAACAAATGGGAATTCATCACGATGCAGGCTGAAGAACAAGTAAAAATGAAGTGTTTTTATCTATTTAAAGTAATTAATCTTGATGACGAGATGTCAATTGTACATGGATTGATTATTTTAGGTTCGGTTAAGCAAAGATAGGAAAAAAGGCGAAAAAATAGTAACTGATAGTCAAGAAAGGGCGTTTTGGAGAGTA